TCAAAAATCGAAATTTCGTAAAATCCCTACGTACCGCATTAAAAAATATTGTTGTTAATAGGAACATTCTTTGGTTTTTTTTTCTAGGAGCCACGTACAGAGCGGAATTTGACACGCCGTCTAACGGTGTTCCTCCAAAGGAATGTATTTTGCCGCCACCTACAAGAGATTATTTGTAACTTTTTCAGTTTGTAATTACCAGGGTTGGGAAGTGACTCGTTACTTGTAACGAAGTTACAGTTACAGTTACTTCTTTTTGGTAACTCTAACTTAACTTCGTTACTTTCTCTACATCTGTAACTGTAACTTAACTCAGTTACATTTTTTTGATAACTAGTAACTAATTTAATAGTTACATTAATAGTTACTTTATATATTTTTTCAACCTCCACAGATCGCATTAGGCCTTGCATTTGCGCATAAACGCCTTTATTGCCGCTTTACAATTCAGATGCAGATTCGATATTTTTATTTCTATTGCAAGGGAGTAACTGCAAAGTAACGATTCGTTACTTTTCGAGTAACTGTAACTCTAACGCGTTACTTTCCAGAATTGGTAACTTGTAACTGTAACTAGTTACATTGTTAGCGAAGAAACTGTAACTGTAACTAGTTACTTTTATAAAGTAACTTTCCCAACCCTGGTAATTACAGATTAAAGTTACATTAATGAATGACTAAAACCGATTTTGTTTCTGGGCACTCTTTGTATGCAAAAAAATTCATGAAAAACGCCTCCAAAATCGCAGTCAAAGGTGGTATCCTGCCTTAATACCATACATTGGCTCCGTAAATCCATGACAACGGTTTTTACTGATGCAATTCGTTCTCATATCACAGCTCTTAATCTTAATACCCCCGACTTTTATTTGTAACTTATTTATGTATTAATCGTTTAAAAATATTTTCTCGTATTTGTACCGTTAGATCACTTGAAAAGGACCAGGAAACATGGTCGAAACGTTGCGAGTTTTGAACATAAAAATTGCCAGACATGGTCAAGTTATTGTTGAAGTCTCTTAAAACTAAAAAAACTCATAAAATTCTTCCAAGTACCATGTCCCACACCCTCAGAAAGAATTTCTGTTACCGAGACAAAAAATATTCTCGACGCATTTATATCTCTCGCAACCTCATTTAGTATAAAAATCAGACATCATAATAAAATCAATAATTCTTATTCTCCTCTATCGATTTAGAACAGATTGACTTACTTTATATTGAGACAAGAGTAACTTATATAAGCGTAAGTTTATACAATATATTCTTGAGTTTAGAGGAAATTTTCCCTCAATCTTGGCACCACGATAGTCGACGGAAGACGATACTATCATTTTATTTTAGATTTTAGAATTTTTCATTTAAGATTAAAATACTCCTTCCTCTATAGAAAATATGATTGGCGCTATATCGATCCTATTTTATGATACATTCAAGTGTATTGGTACCGGCAATGTTTTCTGTGGGTGCGCGATTGCATGATTTTCAGGGTAAATTTTAGGAGGACATTCTCTCCGTGTATCCGCATAATTTCGTCGCGGTTGCCGGAGAGAGTGCCGATCGGGCTCGAGTCCGGGATGATCGCTGCTTCCATTAACTTTGTTCAGTCTTCCCGGCACAGACTCAATCGAAGCCCGGCCGTAACAATGCTCGTGGCAGTTTCGCAGTCTCACGCCACTCGGCATCTTTACGAGGCCGCGGTCCCGTGGACGAAGGAAACCAAGTAAATCTGATACGTCAAGCAACTCGATGCCCGCGCATTGGTAAACCGCGGAACTTTATTAGGTCAGGTGCCGGCGAGTTTCCACGAGGTGGCTTTGCGCGAAGCCGCCGCCGCGGTTCGAGGGGACCCGTCGCGACCAGTCGGCGCTTCCTTCCTCGGAGCCTCGATCGAACGAGAGGAGGAAGAGGAACGGGAACGGGACCAGGAGATGAAGAGGAAGACCGGGATTGTGAGATTTGCCTACCGATTTCCTCGGAATCGATGAGACGGCTGAGCAGCCGCTTTCGGCAACGACGGTATCTCCATCCTCCGCTCTCGTTCTCCGGCGCGAGTCTCGCCTGGGAGTAGGTGAAGCGGCGCGGGGACGGCACGAGTATCCGGTATTCTTGAGATCTGATCAGCCTCTCCGGGGTGTAGCAGATGGGATTGACGCGCTCCTCCTCGGCGCTGCGCTCGCCGCCGGTTGCAGCCGCGGGCGAGCTCTGCATCCCGACGCAGGGGGATTATTTATTAATCGCGCGACTCCGTCGCTCTCGGGTCTCGACGGGGCCGGGCGTGTGTCGTCAAGCCCTCGCGACGTCGTATCGAAACGTTTTACGACTCTGACAAACGCGAATGAAAATTGGAGCCAAGAGGAAACGGGAGAAGGGAAGATACTCGAGGCACTAACGGGAAAATTGCGAACACTGACAAATTCGCAAACTAATTTGCGAATTAAATGACGAGTGCCCGCACGTATCTTCGCGTGCGCAAGTGATATCGACCAGCCCCTTTACATTTATTTGCTCAGCTATCTAATTATCTGAGCAGTCTCTTGCGACCGGATAATCGGATTGGATGCAATTCGCGTAATTCGTCGACGTCGCGAGAGAAAAAGAGGGGGAGGAGAAGAAAGAAAGAAAAAATCGCGCAAATGAAGATAAAAATTCACGCTTCGCCAGGCTGAAGTTCGAGAAATGTACCACCGCACGTGAAACGCAACCACGTGCGCGCACGGAGATTGTGTGTGCTCGCTGTAAATAAACCAACTTCCCGCCGAAAGGAAAACATGAACGGGAAAATTCGACGAGTGCAAAATTAAAGTGCGCCGCCGCGCCACATCTGCCGTTTAATTAATTTAACAGCGTCTGATAGTTCAATTCTGTAAGTACGCGAGTGGCGGCAGCGGGGTGTGTTTCTCGCGCGAGCAACATTTCAGCCAGTCCGAACGGATATTTTGAAAACGCTGTTCAGCGTCTCGGCTTCATACGCCGCTTCTTGAACCCAAATGACTTGAATTACATTAGCGAAGTTACACCCGGCGGGTTTATACGCGCGATCTTTGCGACGAGAGGAAGCAGAACAGTTTATTCGCGTTTATTATTTGAGATCACCTCACGTTTCATTAACCGGACAAATCGCAAATATTCATCTATTAATATACAGTATATACGTGTTTGTATTGATATTGTATAAATTAGAACTGGTGATTTCCTTCGAGGGCTTCGACATTCGAACTTCGCTGCTTCGAAGGAATACTAAGATTAAAAACAATATAATTGTAACATTCATATTGCATATTTGTAATGTGCATGTTATAGCACTTGAAAATTATAATTTTGAAGTAATTATCTATTTTTCAACATATATAAACAAGTACCTTTTATTTACAATATTTTTAGTGTTCTTTAAAGAAATTCGCCACTCGCGCGAATAAACTTTTCGAAGCTTCGAAGTTATCAACAGTAACAGCCCTGGTATAAATATGTATCTATTAATAACATATACACATATACTTATTGTGTATTCCTTCGGTAGAAATTTTCTTGAATCAAAACTGGCTTCGATTTAAAGAGCGTAAGACTCCAATCTAAAACGAGTATATTCTGTAAAAATGTTCGGCGACGCTGTGTTGCTAAAAGCTACGTGGCACTGTAGAGCAAGAAGAAGAGAGACTAAGGTGCGGTTTCACCAACGTTGTTTAACTTTAAGCTTAGCTTAATTCATTCTCTGTCTCTTTCTAACTGTTACTTCAGAAAGAGACAAACATTAATTAAACTAAGATTGAAGTTAAACGACGTTTGGTGAAACTTGGCCTAAAGATTTACAAGCTTATACTCTCTGAAAGTCAATCAGTGGATTATCACCGAAAACAGTGAATAGTCATTGATTTGCAGTTGTAAGTAGAGGAAAGTCCTCTACTTATGCGATAGGATTCTAATATGAGATGGTAGGTTTTCAACGTCCCAATTCAATCACAAATACACGATCTAACAATAAATTTTCCACTAAACAGACTTCACTCCAAGGGTAAAAAATTCATGGTGGAATCAACAGATGATGTCTGCTAATTTAGCAGAAAATAGGGGACTTTTCTCTATACCGCTAAAAATCGCAGTGGCATACTTATAACTGTAAATCAGTGACAATTCACTGACTGATTGTTACATAGCAGAGCGAACATCTTAAGGGCTGTGTCCACGATGCTGGAACTTGGTCCAAGTTGTAGCTTCGAGAGATGTGTAGTGATTCAACTTGCAGCTCTTATGGAACAGCTGCAAGTTGATTGGCAACACATTTCTCGAAACTACAACTTGGACCAAGTTCCAGCAGCGTGGACACAAGCCTTTACAGAACACAGGGCTGAGCCTCGAGATCGCGCGTATTAATAAGATACGTCGCCGCACTCACCGTTTCCCTGGCGTCCCTCTCGATCAGCTCGACATCGAGATCGCCCTGCGCGAACGTGCACAGCTCGATCGTCTCGTAGACTCCGCTCTCCTGTTCCTGCCCCGAGACATCCCTTGCGAAGCTGCCCGAATCGTCCGAGTCGATGCAGGACGGCGTCGACGCGGGCGATCCGGGTGATCGATGATTCCTGACGCGACGCGATCCAGGCCATACCGCGATCTCCCGATCGCTCAGCCACCAGCCGAAATTCTCCTCGTCGTTGGGCGACGACGAGGCGTACTTGGCGCCGTCTCTCCCGTCCAGATAAAACATCGCCCGGCGATTCCTGATGTTTCCTCCCTCTCCCGATCGACGTGGGTCGCGTGCAGATTTTTACCGCGCCGGGGAAATTCCGCCTGCAAGCAAGACGGATTGACATGCGGAAGAAATCGAGTTTCGCGGTAATTCCCGCAAACAGGAGCGCGGCCTCGTGTCTCGGAGATTCGTCTCGGGCGACGAATCCCGACGAGCGCACAATCGATCTGCCGATGATAAATTCCGCGCGATTTCGATTTGTCAACGATTTGCCGAGGCTCGCGGACGCGCGGGAGTTTCGCCGATCAATCCGTGCTCCGAGCCCTTCGGAAATTGAAGACAACGTGAAAGTTCCTCACGCTGCACGCGACGTAACGAATAAGTAGCAATGTTATATAATCGATTAATAAAATATATATAATATAGAAGATCTCGGGTAAGATTTCAATAAGGGGAAGATAAACTGATGGCTCTAGGACGAAAAATACAAGCTTTGACATTACACCCACAGAAAACATTTCCGGATCCAATGCTATTACACTTGAATGTAAAATAGGATCGATATAGCGCCAATCATATTTATTATAAAGAGAAAGGAATATATTTTAATGTTAAATGAAAATTTCTAAAATCTAGAATCGTCTTTTGTCGAATATCGCGGTGCCAACTTCGCGCGTTGTAAGACGAAGGGACAATTTATTCTAAACGCAAGAACAACGACAAATCACTCTTGTCTCAATATAGTAAGCCAATCTTTTTTTAATTCGATAGAAGAGAATAAGAATTATTGATTTTATTTTGATATTGTCTTATTTTTATACCAAAATGAGGTTGTGAGAAATATAAGCGCGTCAAGAATATTTTTTGTCCCGGTAACAGAAATCCTTTCTGAGGGTAGTGTAGGCTCTCGCAAAGCTACTTGCAGTATCCTCACTCGGACATCTGGGACGTGTGCCGTTTCTCTCTCATTATTAATTTCATCCGCGTTTCATTCCTCGATCATCCTGGTCGAACTGGATTTACAAAAGGCGGCGACTCAAAATGTATGAATGGTACGGGCTGCATAAAATTCGCGGTGTGTTAATACGTGAAACATTAAATCTTTCATGAGCGACGGAAAGCGGCGGCTGCGCGTGTTTCACACAGCTGGAAACTCGTACAGCCTTTTAACTACCCTCGCTTATTTAGTAATGCCACTTAAGTATGCACTAAGTGTGTGCCGATGTGTACGCCGAACAAACGATGAAATTTTCATCCGTCCGAAATCTCGCGCGCATCTCGCGTTCACAGAGCTACAAAATTCAACAGCAGCCGATGCGTCTGATTAAAGGTACAATTTTACAAATCCCTTTCCTCACGTGAACAACCCGACTGTCGTCATTTCAATTAAGCAGACTTTTACGCCACTAAAAACGACTTGCCGACACGTTCATTAAGTTAGATTAAATATTGTACACCGTAAAATGGGATAAGGAAAAACACTTCTGAACATCTCTCGTTCATATCAATGTGAAAAACATTATGTATGGATATGAGGGAATTAATTTTAGACAAACGTAACCCGAAATAACGGGAAGCTTAGCACGACTTTTGGAAAATTGACAATTTTTACTGGTTTGAAAATGATTCTTTTTTTTTACAAGTTTACCAGCGCTAGCAGGCAATCTTTACTCGTTTCGGCTTCCCACAATATTCCCTGCTATATAGAAATTCTGCAGAAATGGCGCGAGACTTAAACTGAAATCTGTTCTGTATTTTACGGCGAATCTAACCGTCGTTTAATTTAATTTACTTATTACTAAAATGATTTTATTTCGTTTAACTGAAAGGTTAATATTTTTTTATGTTTCACTATTCTCGCAAAGTGGTTGAATCACTGACTTTATTACAAAGCTCGTGTTTCTTGTACGATTACAAAGGAGGAAAATACGTTTCTTTCACTCAAAGAATGTGTGCAGGTTATCGTAGGAAGCTCGATAACCCTTTCACGATTCTGCAGAACATCTTAGGCCTAATATTACATTTGTCGTACAAATTTTTCAAGCGTGTTGATTGGCTGCTAGATAGAAAATTTCTAGGTACTCGAGAACTTTACTATTCTGCAGCCAATCAACGCACCTAAATTTGTCGTACGACAAATGTAATACCACCCCAAGTTTCACAAACGTCGGTTAACTGCTAACCGAAGGTTAATTGACTCTCTACCTCTTCTTAGAGAACAAGATAGAAATAGATAGGGAGTTGACTGAACTCTGGTTAACAGTTAACAGACATTTGTGAAATTGGCCCTAAGACGTAAATCGTCATGTAAAAATGTCGCGGCTATTATAGGAGAGAAAACACTCGTTAATAACACAATATCTTCCTCGATCGTGATAATTATTGACAAGATCTCTCACGGTTATTCGACAAGTGTAGAGCCCGATTGCAACGTAATTAATTTTCAGCGAGATACGCCGATTGATCGACGAGTCGGTTTCCGCACTGGACACTGCATTCCGACGATATTTCATTAGATCGCAGGTGGTCGCGGTCGCGTGGATACACGCGCGATCCGATCACAACGCGGGCGATCGGATCTCCCGGGATAAGATCGTGTTTTAACGAACCGTACTCGATGGCCACCGCGCGTCACATTTCGCTTCGCGATCGCGAGCGGAACCGCCGCGACCGATTGACGCTTAATGCGTCGCCAGCAAGCCGACTCTCGCCATCCATTTTCTTGACCACCGGTCGTCATGGCGACTCTAATTTAATAATCCGTCATTTCCCGCTTTGCGCGTCGCACCTTTGCCGGCGCTGCCGATGTCGGTGGCGACTTAGCAGCGGCCGCATCGACGAGCCGCGGTTCTTTGCTTCTTTTTCTTCTTCTTCTTTTTTAGACTACTTTGACCGCGCAATTGTTCGCGAATCTCGCCGAATTTTGCCCTGTATCTTGCGGCTAATCACAAAAATCTCACGTCGCCAAAATCTCCAGTCGCGCAAAAACCATCGCGATTCGGGCGAATCCCCGCGAAAATTTTCACCCCCCCCCTCCAGCGCACTCGTAGGAAAAACGCCCGTGCACTCTGAAAAGCGGCGTAATGCTCCGCGAAATAACTCCTTCCGGACGCGGTGAATGGAGCGGCGTATTTTCAATGAATTACGCGAAAAGCGTTTACGTTTCGAGTTAAGTAAAGAAAGTTCGGTTGAGCGAGCAGCTTGGATTAAACGAGCTTAGTTTAGCGATTCGCCCTTTGTTTGATGGGCCCTAATATCGCTATCGTGAAAGGACGTAAAAAGAAATTCGGTCGCGTCCAAGTTAATTCCAAACGGCCGAGATCTTGCGATCGTTTCTAATACTGTTATTTAAGAAGCAGTTCTTTAGTGATTATCTGTCGACCGCCACTTTCTCATGCGCCTTGACTGAAGCCAACGACACCATATAGCAGCACACTGTTACTTAACTCACGTATGTATTGTATTTTAATCGGCACTATTTATATAGTCCATCGCTCTTTAGCCACTTCAAGAGCATACACAGTTGGAAAATTTGTGTTTTCTTGTTAAAAGAAATGCCCGTTAAAATTTTTGTGTTAAATGGTTAACACATTCATGTGTTAATTTAACAGATTGCTCTTATGTTAATTGACCTTCCATGTAAAATTATTAAAATAACTGAAAAGAAATGTTAAAACAACACAATGTGTACTTATTTTGTAATCTTACACAATACATATGTTCTATATTATTAGTAACAAGATTTATCTGTTAAAATTTACAGAATGAAATGTTGATTTTATTCTATATAACATAAGAGAGTGATCTCGGACCATTTGGCTAATTATTACATCTGGGCCTGGATAGATCAGTTGGAAGAGCACTCGCCTGGCAAGCTGAAGGTCCTAGGTTCGAATCCTAGCCCGTTACTTTTCTCGCCGAAAAATAAGTGGCGTGTCTTATTGTTAGTGCCTACCTCCCCGAAGATACATTCCTATTTATTATGAAATTACATTTTTAAAATTCATTTTGTCATTAAAAAAATATGTTAAGTTTACACAAAATTTATGTTAAATGATTTTGAGATTTGCATTTATTTTGTGTTAAAATATTAACAGACTATTAGTGTGATCCTTTAACATATCCATATTATGTTAAATTAACACAAAAATTTGTGTGGACCGTTTGGGACATGTGATAGGTATCTGTTAAATTTAACACAAATTTTTCAACTGTGTATGTTCTAGATGGAAAAAGCAATTTGATTGTTTAAATGCCGTAAAACTGACTTCCTCAAAGCCTTAAAATTAATTTTAAACAATCAAGATCCTGTAATCGTCTCAAAATAAAGAGTTGTTCTTGTAACGTTTCCGGATCCAATACACTTGAATGTATCATAAAATAAGATCGATATAGCGCCAATCATATTTATTACAGAGAAAGGAGTAAGGTGGAGTGGGGTAAATCCGTACACGGGGCAAATCCGCACTAGGCCCTTATTTATTCGAATATACGTTGCATTGTACCAACTGTAAGGTAGAAATCTTCCTTTGGTTAGCATTCAATGATCAACATAGGTAGCCGCCATGTATTCTGTGATTCCCCCGTTTAACTCGTTCGAGAAAGTTCATGGTGTTTCCAGGTGCAGAGCAAAGATTGAGTTTAAGCATTATAAAACGATAATTTAAGCAATAGTTTACAAATCTATGTGTTTATCTTCGATAGGCACAAAGTATAGTAAGGTAAGTTTCCTTTATAGTAATAAAATATTATTATATTATATTATAAATATTATATTACATTCAATATAATTTTTAAACAGGTAGGTGCGGTTTTGCCCCAGTTCCGGGGCAAGTCCGCCCTAGCAGCACTGTTGTTAATTTATTAATTTATTAAATCATAAGTTTCAGAAGTTATTTTTAATCCAAATTAATGCAACTTAAAGAATGAACCATGCGCTAAATAAAAACACTAAGATTATTAGGTTTTAGTGGAATAGATAGAAAATACATCAGTTTAAAGTAAACTTTACAATTTCTGGGTCGGTTTTACCCCACTCCACCTTATTTTAATCTTAAGTGAAAAATTATAAGATCTAGAATAAAATGATAGTATCGTCTTTTGTCGAATACCGTGGTGCCAAGACGGAGGGAAAGTTTATTCTAAACGCAAGAATAAATAAAATTACTCTTGTCTCAATATAGTAAGTCAATCTTTTTTAATTCGATGGAGGAGAGAATAAGAATTACTGCTTTTATTTTGATATTGTCTTATTTTTATACTAAATGAGGTTGCGAGAAATATAAATGCGTCAAGAAAATTGTTTGTCTCGGTAACAGAAATCCTTTCTGAGGGTGTCTTCTCCGCCGATTGCTTTCCCCAGGTACTCTGATTAAAGGTAACGACATCGCCATATGTAGCCGTATTGGCACACTGTTATTCGGTTGATACATACGTTAGAGCTCGATCGGGACGTACAATTTACTCCAGCTTTTGTGCCTCAGCTTCTTCGAAGCATCGATTTCAGGCCTACTTTCGTTCGCGCTTCTACACCGCGTTCCGAAATGTCGCGCGGCGCACTTTTACCGGTCTTGCATCGTTATTTACTAGCGTTTTCCGTGCCATTGGGCGGGCATAATGATGTACGTGCGTTCGATCGCGATGATTCCCACCGACTGACAGGGAATGACGTGTCCGCGGGCCCTGTTCTGTATTCGTGATAACTCGCTGACCCGTGTGTACTGTGATAATTTCAGCCGTGCCGAGTATCGACTGCTCGATTGTATGTGTGCGCACGTACGTGTGTATGTACAATCGCGCATCGTCACGATGTTGCTAAACAGCCGGAGGCAGAGGCTCGTAAGCGCGCGCAAATAGCACGGTCAAAATTGCGCGACGGTATAATTCGCGAGAGCTAGAGAGAAAGAGAGAATCGCCGTTGACGCAAAAGCCCCCTCGGAAGTTTCAGCGGAGAGAAAAAGAGTCTTGGGCGGCATCGAGGAGGAGGAGCAGGAGGAGGGAGGGAAATTAGGTTTCGGAGAACCTCTAAAAATGTCGTGGAAAAGTCTTTCTCGAAAGAGAAATCCTCGCAAACTTCCTTCCACTAAGAATCAAGCTCGACGATCATCTTCAAGACCCACAATCGCACGGGGAATCTTCGGGCCAAGCGCAGTTTCAGAACGACGGGACAGTTGCTCCTCGAGCTATTTCCGTGCGTCGAAAATGATTGCACGAGTATAAATGCGGGCGATAAGATACTTTGCGATTTGTTATTCAAAATTTCGTCGAGGCATCGTCACGGAATTGCGTCACACTTATTGCACGTAACATTCGCCGTGCACGTATAAGCACAGAAATGTGCCAATTACTGGTCCCTTCGGTGTCTTAGATCAAGTGCAAAGAATATTACGTCCTAAACGCAGAGTGTCCCAGGCGTCTGTGTCTATATCCAAATCACGCGAGTCTCCAGAAGATTATCCGAGAAATGAAACATCTCTCTTAAGCGTTAGATTATCCGGATTAACTGTCATAAATGCAATTTTCCCTCGTGAGCCGCGAACGAATCTCGAACGGTATTCGCAGCCAAACATCGGCGCGTACATACCGTTATCACGCTGATTAATTGCTTTGCTCAGGCTGATTAATTAACTAACCTCAGGCAGCGAGCGCGTAAATACTCGATTATTATATTATATAATTCGCCGGGCACTTATTCAATCGACGAGCGAAACATTCGCAAACCATCGCCTCTTTCCCACTTTTGTTTTCGAGAAAGGGGGTGATAAACGGTGCCATTTTTCTCCCCCGCTGTCGCTTCGATCGGCAATCTCTTGACCGTTTTCATGTCAAACACCTCTTTTGCACATCGATACCACGACCATATTTTTGGGACTCGCGATAGCGTCGCTGGCCGCGAGCGGGACAATTTATTGGCACTTATCACGCGAAAGATAGGCAAGTCGAGAAACCCGAGCTTGCAGCAAACCAAACTCCATTTCGGGAACGTTAACACATGTGTTTATCTGATTTATTGCGGTATCTATGAGCCTGACAGCTCGAATACGTGGAAAAATCGCGCATTATATCGTCGGGGAAACATGCAGCTTGCGCCTTCTTGAAAGAGAGGCTCGCCAGATAACGCGCGCGCCCAGAAGCGTCGCGATCCGTAAGATTGTCTCGCGGAATAAACTGTTTTCCGATCAGTCAGCCTGTGGTCTAGGGATACGATTAAAGGGATACTAATCCGCAAGTGCGTGCGTAAGAGTATTCGAGACTGCATGCTGATTTTCGTTTTTTCCGAGAGATTTTTACGGTCAAAGTTCAACCGGCGCCGGGGACGGACGGGCCCCGGGGCCGGCTTTTTTCGGGGCGCGTTTTCGGCACGCATATTAATCAGGATGACGTGGGACAGGCCTTGATCGGGGGAGAAAAATGATCGCGCATCACCGATAACGTTATCGCGGCGTCGTGCGTCGTTGCGCTCGCTATCAGGTGTAGCGGACGCACGTGCATGCCGCCGCGGTCGAGGCGCGCGGGTGCGATTACACCTGCATTCGCGAGGTGGCCTGGACGATTCCCGGGAGTAGAGACCCTGTAATCACCGACTGGCCATAAGAGTTCGTCGAATTCCCGCGAGTGAGAGAGAAACGTCGGCTATCTCATTCTTCTACGATCGTAGAATCGAACTCTTACGGCCAGTCTCTGATTACAGGGTCTCTAGAAGACGCTAGAGTCTCCGATTACAGGGTCTCTAGCGTTTTCCAGAGATCTCACTCTTCCACGATCGTAGAATCGTAGCCCATGTTTCTCTCTCACTCGCAGGAATTTGACGAACTCTTTTGGCCAGTCTTCTGATTGCAGGGTCCCCTACCGGGAGGAACAGCGCCGAGAGCGTTCGCGACGACGAGGGCTGTTTAAATCGCGCGAGAGCGAACGTTCGGGCGAGAGAACTCCTGTTTATGAGCGTGCGACGTTTCACGCGAGCGATTCGCCTCACGTTGGATCTTTAAACTTCGCTCGAATCGCGTAAAATCGCAACCAGAAGAATAAATATAGTTTGAAATGTATTTATAAAGCTCCGTGTTTGCGGAGCGTCTTTTTCTCCGATGGGGTAAAATCGAAATGGCTAAATTCGCGACTGCTCCCTCCGCGACGGATTTATATTTTACGTTTCTCGTTATATCGTGGGACAAGTACACTCAAACATTTGCTGAACATTAATTATAGACTCGCGCGCCAGCGTATTTCGCATCAGTCCGCCGTTATTCGAAATTCCGGTTTATTTTCCATGTTTAGAAGAACAGAGTTGAACCAGAGAGAGATAGAGAGAGAGAGGGCGTGCGACATTTTGACCGAAATTAAATTAAACAATGGATTCCTGCTCTGCGCGGATAGGCGTGTCCGCTAAAAAAATTCTTTTAGGCGAAAAATCTCAGTTTAAAAAGTCCCTTCCGCAAGGCAAAGTCATATTGCTTATAAAATGGCTTTCCTTTTTCTCAAATATGCACATTTGTCAGGAATTGAACAAATACAAATATGTATTTGTTCTAACGGTTCACTCGCGCCGTGCGCAATTTTTCTCGCAATCCCGATTACGAGCTAATCTTGCCTTATCGAACGAGAGGATCGCGTCGACTCTTTTGCGATAAGGTGAATTAGATCGGCTGTGCAACGTCACGCGAGAAGCTACACGCGTTGTGCGACCGAGACGGGAGAGGAACGGTCGAGTGTCATTGAATTACAATGGCTAAGGACTCGGGAGCTGTACCGACGTGGTTGGATAATAACATCATCCACTTCTCGATACAATGCGATCGCTCCCGCGAATCGTATTTCTTTTGATAATCCACTCAATGGCTCACGGTCAGCCCAATGTGATTGCGCGACGTAGCGTGTCATCTGTTACACGTATATAATGTACAAAGTGTTATTATATCAACCCACAAACAATGCGGTTTTGTAGAGATACTTTTGCAACGAGACAAAAAAATTGACATTTTAATTTTCATCCGAAATATATTTTTCATCATCTCCAACTTCTTCCCGTCCCAGGGGCCTATTCTGTAAACGTTAACGATGTCATTCAGGGCTGGGTAAAATGCTTTTTGAACTTTTTGAATTGCATTTAAAATGCCAAATGCAAAATACCTGAAAAAAATGTATTTAAGATGCAAAATGTAAAATGGATAAATAGGTATTTTAAATGGTTTTCAAATGCAAAATGATTTTTTCTAGTATATGCAGCTTATTTGGTTATTAATACATATTATGTATGTTTATTTGATAAACGCGCTGTTTAATTTGAGCAGCAATTGTTTTTCGAAAGTATCATCGTGCCATACTTCGACGATTGGGGCGACAAATGATGCTCGCGGACGTTAAGTTTAACGCGGCCATAAAGAAAATTGTTGTTCGGCCAATCACGGGACTTGGTTTCTCTTAAGGTCCCATTTCATCGACGCTACGATTTGGCGTCGAATATAGTCACGTGACTAAATTTACTGACCCGAGTACCCCAGAGTATCATTTTATCCTTGTTTAACATACGGTGAGCAACAAGGATAGAATAATACGCTGGGGTACTCGGGTGGCGTTTCTGAACGCAACCCTTGCGACACGCCAGTCACCACGGCACACTGGAAAAGCTGAGACGGTCTCAGCTTTTTCCCCCACTACGTCGAGAAGTCACTAGACCTCATTTGTCGCTGGTTTCTAGCGTCCATGAAATTGCGCCTTTATGCGTCAATGACGCTAAGCGAAATTTGTGAGCGCTTAGAAAAACCATTTACCCATTTTACAAATGGTTGAATGTAATAAAATTTCCATTTCAAATGTAAAAGAGAAATGGTTTTCCAAAAAGCATTTAAAATAGAAAATGCAAAATGCCATTTCCATTTTAAATACATATTTAAAATGGAACCATTTCGAATGGTTACCCAGCCCTGGTCATTACGCGCTTCGCGCAGCTTTTCTATAACATATTATATCTGCGCAAAGCACGTAAGATGTTAACGTTTACAGAATAGGCCTTTAAATCTGAATTTTTCAATTCCATGATAAAAGTCTCTTGGTTTTCAACTGAAGAATGAATCAGGCTCTCTCTTTTATATCGCTATGGTTACGAGATGATTCAATGTAATTGTGTAAAAGTAATTATAATAAATATAAATATTATATATACATTACTCGCCTTTGTGTGCACAGCTTCCTTCGCGCTCCTAATACTCCTTTGTCTCGTTAAAATCCATTGCTCGTGCGCAATAAATTTATTAGTACGTTTAAAAGGGGATCCTGGACTGACGGCTGAACTTAGAAATCGTCGATAATTTAATACATACATATTTAATACATACATGCTATAAAACTACTAATTAATATGTACAACTTTTGTCTGAAACATTTTTTGATTTGCCTAATACTTTTCGAGATATTCAAGAGAAAATTTATAACTTTTTCAATGTTTAGTTTATAATATCTCGATAACTGTTTGTCGGAGGAAAAAGTAGTACAGGACTTTTTTTAACTTGATTTAGTCTCAGGAATACGCTGTTGCAATGGTGTTTGAATTATTGAGAATTTTTGTGTATGTAAATTTTATGTATTACAATACATGCGTGGAGAGAACAGCCAAGTGTCTCGTCCGATCGAAACGCGATACCTTGTATAAATTATTTTATTCTTCGTTCGATTATCTATCGAGCCCGCGCGAATTCTCAATCTCGACGGCAGTCGCAGCGCGCAAACAGAAACGAGAAATTCCTCGTGCGTTTCTCTATCTGCTATCAAAACTGCTCTCGATTTTTTTTCTCCCGTTGCGTCAACATTGCGACGCTGTGCGACGTTTCGCGCGTTTCCCGCGACATTTCTACTCGCGATAAGTAAATTTCCATCACGGAAATGAGAATTTTCGCGGAGAGCCCGATCAGCGGATCGAATCGCGCACGCAGATCCGCCGGGAGATACGAAGATCGAACGTTTAAACGTACCGTGTGGAAGTATATTACTTCTGGTATATCGGAGATAAGTGAGACAGGGGCGAGCCGATTATTTATCTCGAGTGTTTTCAGGTAAATATTAAGTTGTCCCGGCAAGACGTGTCATTGCTTTTGTTTTTGTAAAGGAACGAGTTAGAGAAATTAAAAGTTACTCATATGAAAGAGCAAACTTTTCATTTAATAGCCGTTGTTTGCGCCTCGCCGGAATAGATTTTAAGAAAACGTTGACTGATACAATTAGCGATATTGACGAGCGCAACTTTATCAAGTTTTGCACTTGATTATAGTGCAGGTGTTATTGAATAGTATTTCGAGACAGTTTTAGGAGACAAAGCATATTCGAAGAGGTCAATAGAGAATCTTTAGAGGAAGTTTAGGCGAGCCATCAATGGAAGAACGTGGTGCCGCGCGGCGCTTCCAAAGAAGATGAGCGAGAAGAAGAAAGGGTTTGAGGTATTAAGAAGAAACTAGAGGAAAAGAAGAACGTTTTCGAACATACTGTCTTCTAAAGTTTCAGATCTTTCTGATATACTGTTCAGTAAAATCCGTACTGTAGCCAAGTAAAGCGCAAAACTTGACGAAGTTGCGCTGGTGACTTCACTAATTCAATCAATTTTTTCTCAAAATTCATTGTGGCTGGACACAAACAGTAAGAATGGCTACTAGTGAAAAGTGGCGAGAAGTTGACTTTCTCAAAACGAATAGTTTTGAATTCCTCCAACCATTTCTTTAGAGAGATAAGAGCAACGACTCGTCCATTTGCTTGAGACAACTTAATATTTGCGTCAAAACACTCGAGATAAATTAATGTCACTAATTCAACTAATTTTTTCTCAAAATTCATTTTGGGTGGACGCAAAGTGAAAATGGCTACTAGTGGAAAGTGGCGAGGAGTTGACTTTCTCAGATGAACAGTTTTGAATTTCTTCATTTCTTTATAGAGATAAGAGCAACGACTCGTCCATTTGCTGAGACAACTTAATATTTGCGTGAAAACACTCGAGATAAATTAATATGTCACTGATTCAATCAATTTTTTCTCAAAATTTATATTGGCTGGTAAGTGGGAGGGGGTCTCTATGGTCCTCCCGGTGACGAAAGTAGCTATCGACTAATACTAACAATAAAAACTCGAAGAACCATGCAAATTATTGAACACAAAAGTCAACCGACAAATGACTCACCGAAGCCCTGCTGCACTCCTCGTGGTCCTTCAATTATATCGCAATATCGATTCTAATAAAATCTAATAAAATTTTAATTCCTTCGTATATGAGTTAACACCGCTGTCGAATTCTACAATAATATATAAATACAAAGAAGTCACAATCTTCCGTCGTCGTTCGCTGACATAAAGATTTCCCCGATCTGAACACTTATGCAATAATCAGAAAATACAATTTATTTATAATGGAATATGATGCAATATCTATCAATTATAACTATAAGAGTAATCGGAAGTTACTCATCTGGCATTCTATAAGGTGTCCCACGTAGGCTCTCTCTCCCGCTCCGGAGAACCGTCCTTCAATATTGTCAGGCTCCTTTGAGTCGGTCTTCCCCAGTCAGAAATGACTCGAAAACCGACGTCGAAACGATATCGAATCGATGCATTTTTGGTTCCATTTTCGACTTGGCTCGAAATGCCCGGGCATGCGCGTCTCCCGCTTCTCGAATATTCTCGCTGTCGATCGCGGAAGGAGAGATCTTCTGCCCATGGTGGAAGGGATAACATGGTGTGCTCAGTTCGGCTAAACCACGCCTACTTTTGCTTTGCGACGGCTATAGTTTCCCAGAGCT